TTTAAGCTCATTATTACCATGTCCTTATTGATTCTAGTTTGTAGAGTTATTAATATGTTCTTGATTAGTGAAATCTGTGTGCTTAAATATATGTTATTATAGTTTGGCTTAATTTTATATATATGAGAAACTGTTAAAGGGCCAGCTTTGATCTTTTGTTTTCATTAGCTTCATATTCAGATAGAAAATGTTAAATGGGCTATGGATTGCCTACCAAAAGTGCTACTTTCTTACTTTATTTTATCAGTTGTCAAGGCTGCTGAACTTGGTGTTAATAAGACATAAAAACTTGTCTAGTGAATAAGAGTAAGAAATAATATGTATATTGCTTTTTAAATGTCAGTGTTGCACTTTTAGGCATATGCAAGCTTAATGGTCTGCCTGTCTGTATCATTTTCTCCTGGAATGACAGTTTAATAGTTTTCCTGGTTGGACTATGTTAAAATCTTTAAAGGCTATATTCACTAAAACATATGTCCAACGTTTGGGCAGCCAGTGTCTGTGTAATCATTTTAATGGAGTATAACTTAGCCCCTATGTATTACCACAGATATTGTATTGTTAAAGCTACATTAGTATATGTATTTTGAACTATTTTGAAACATGTCACATGATACTTATAGATGTATATAACTTTTATGCTTCAGTTAAAATTGATGTAAATTTTTAAAAGCTGCAGTAAAGTATCATTAATTTAGAATCTTATTTCATAGTTAAAAATGTTTTTGGATATGTGGAAGAATAGTAGTACACTATCTTGAAAATGGATATTGCTAAGAAAGCAATAGCATAAATTTTGAAACATGGCACTTGTAATATATTTAAACAATTTGTTGTAATTTTTTTTGTCCAATTTACTGTTTTGGAGTATTTACCATGTTCAGAGCATTGTGCTAGATGTCCTGCATAGACAGCTTTAATTTGTCACCATTAATTAAGACGTATATAGAGAGTGGACAATGGGGAAACATTACCAAGTGGACAAACCAGAAATAAATGATCTTCTAGGTTCCACCCAGAAGGGGTATTGTGATATGTCTTGGCAATGTCCTGTGTTCAGGGTTGGGATTTTGTTTGCTTCTCTTACTATGGGAGGGCTGGGGATTTAGCTCAGTGGTTCTGCCACCAGCCTTACAAGCACAAGTTCCCAAGTTTGATCCCTGGTACCAAAAAAAAAGTATCTCTTACTATGGGATACTGCTGCTGCTTGGGTTGAAAAAGTGACTATTTGAAATGGTGGGAAAACTCCTAGAATTTTAGGATAGTTTTCTTCAAAGATCTTCAGAAGTCCTTGAAAGAATAAAGTGATTATTTTCAAGTGCAAGACAGAGAAGTTATTCACAGTCCAAATCTTTAATTGGCTTAGCTTTCCTGCTGCCATTTGTCTCCTCCAACTCATTGGTTCTCCGTGTACCATAGGCTAGGGTCCAGGACCAGTTCTCACTGGTAAAAAGTAGGAGAGGCAGATATGGAAGGAAAATCCAGTCTTATGTGATCTTTCCTGGCTTTGAGTGGTTCAGCTTTCATATTGAAAAATTGTTTAAACACTTAAAATTTTCTTTTCAAGTGGAGAAATAAATTTATTTCAGAAGAAAACTTGAAAATTTAGAAAATTATTTTCTTCCAAAGAAAAGGAACTTTAAACATTATTAGTTTTTATATCCATTGTTATTTATTTTAAAAAAGATTAATGGCAATTCATTGAAAAATACCATATTTTTACTATCTGAATATATCAAAATGCTAAATTTGGTTAGACAAATTTCATGCCAGTTGTATATTATTTTGCCTAGATATGCAAATATTAGAAGCCTGTGATAGTTCACAAAAATATCTCATTTGATCAGAATATCGGAATACCTAATTCAATTACACTGAATTGAAAGAGTAACATTCCCTTGAGTATTGTAAATTTATAATGATCTCATTATGACAATATTAATAAAGTATTTCCAGATTTTATAGAAGTCCTTAGGAATTTAAGTGAGTTAAAATTATGCATAATAAAACCATATTATCAAATAGAATTTCTACTATCCCCCAAAAAATGATTACGCTGTACTGACACTACAGTATATGCTACTTCTTTGAGACTGTGACTGGATTATATCAGTGCTATATCTGTATTTTGGCTTTTCAGAAATTTGACCTAACTTTATTTTATACATTTAAAAACTTTTCAGATAACAGAGATTATCTTTAAGAAGAAAAATGAAATTTAAATTCCTTCCAAATTAAATGAAGGCTTTAACATAAAATACGCAGCGCAGGTCAAGCTGCATAGCACTCTTCTGTGGTAATCATTTGTAATTGGGATTGTTACTTCTAACTTTCCGCACAACAGCCTCTCATTTACTTATTTGTGCACAGTGGCAATTTCCATAAGCTCAAACTGTGATCACTTTCTGTTTTGTCTACAGTCTAGTTTTTGTTGTTATAGAAATTTTTGGAATTACTCTGTTCAACAGAAAGAACAAACTGTTTGTTTGCAGTACTAGGAACTCAACCCAGGACTTCTGATCTACATCCCCAGACTTTTGTATTTTGTATTTCATATTTTGAGACAGAGTCTTGCCAAGTTGCCCATACTTTTAAAAAAAGCTAATATACCTATAAAGATGTTGAAAAACTTCACTATCTTTGATTCCAAAATTTCATTTTTTAATTTTATTTAGTATCCATTTGGTTGTGGTTTAAATGAGGAGCTGTATGTGACCCCTACTAACCTGCTGGAGGTCACACAAGGAGTGGAAGGGGAAGACTGACTCTCTGCGCTTTAAATGTACCTATTTTGTTACTGAAGTCTGGGATTTTTCCGTCCTGTTGTTTCTAAAGCTAGTTCTATGGTATCATTTTTAAAAAGTCATTTTGATTCTTGAGGAGATTATAACATAATTTTCAGTATTAATTCAAGAGCTTTCTTTGTGTGTGTGTGTGTGTGTGTGTGTGTGTGTGTGTGTGTGTGTGGTACTGGTAATTGAACTCAGAACCTTGTGCTTTCAAGGCAGGCACAGTGTCACTGAGCTAAATCCCCAGCCCTTCAAGGGCTTTCTTTTTCTTTTTATTTATTTTAGACTTAATGAGAATACTTTCAATAATGTAAAAGTACATAAAGTAAAAGTTGCTTCTGTATACTACCTTCAGTATCATTCCACATAAGAAAAGATTTTTGGTATTAGAATGAATCTTTGTACGTTTTTACACAGGCTTTGTATGTTTTTACATATGCACATGTTGAAAAGATATGTTTCTTAGTGTTCCCACTTTTGTGATGGTTATTTTTCATAAAAAAATGAGATTATATTGTCTGGCAACTTGCTTATTTTACCAATTGACTTATCAAAGAGATCTTTCCATGTCCACTCTTTTTCATGGCTGCATAATACTCTACTGGATAAATGTACTTTGGTCTATTTAGCCATTTCCCCACTGAAGGACACTTAGAAAGTCTCCACATTTCATCCATTTATGTATCATGTTGCACAAAACCCCAAAACTAGAAGCTTTTTTTTCTGGTTCTCTTTTAAGTTTCCCTACTTCTCTCTACAGACTGCAGTAAGCATCAGCCTATCTTCCTGATTACTTGTTAGCTTTCAGGGATCATTCTAAAAAGTTATCATTTGTTCTTGGGTAGGCCTGAGCTCAGATTATAAAGGACCAATTCCTTGTGTGGGGTTTTAGGGTAAGAGCAGCATTTTTATAGAAGTTTCTTCTTTCTGCCTGCTAGAAATTTAAGATGTACCATATAGCTTGGATGAGTATTGGCTATTTCATCTTTTAATATTGGCAGTGTTCTAAGTTTCAGAGCTTTACAAAAGTCCTCATTGTCAAATTTGTTCTTTAATAGATTAACTTTAAAAAAAAAAACATCTTTTACAGACTATTTTGAAAACATTTTATCTTTATTTTGGGGTATTATTGTCTTTTTACATTTTTATCTAGGTACTTTGAAATTTAATTTGTGACTTTTACAAATGCCTTAATTCATCATAATCACAAAAAAACTAAATACCAGTACTCCAAAGTTAATATTTCATTGGAGGTGGGTGCTATTCATTAAGGTGTTCGTAAAAATTTTACATTCTTCGGTACTATTTCTGTAGTAGATGCAGTAATTTATTTGTGCCATGGCTACTGGCCATATCTTGGAGTTTAACCTCTGCTGGCTGAAACTATGGAATGCTCTTTAATTACCATAATTGTGTATAATGAATAAAATATTTTGTTTTAGGTACATATTTTTACTTGGAAGATTTCATCTTATTTTCATAAAATAGTAACATTTTAAGAAAGGTGATAACAAGTTGTTAGAAAACTGGAGAAGAAATTACCACCTCTCTGTGGTAATATGATAATTTTTCAATGCATTTTAAGCAGTAACTTGCTATTGATTTTAATAGTTTTCCTCTCAACACAGCTGGTATCCTGCTATGATATCATAGCTATACTTTCTGATTTATTATTGTATCGAGTGTGTAATGTACTGTGTGCATAACCATGTTAAATGACAGGGAATAGACTTTGTTTTTGTGACACTTTCCATGTTAAAATGGACCTGTGCTCATTCTACAGATTTTAGTGCACATTTACGAAGATAGTCATAAACCTTTTACTTCTGTAATAGTTTATTACAAGGTTTCCTCAAATATCTAATGGTTTGACTTTTTCCTTTGCTACAAGTTTTTAATGGTATTTTTGTTTTCCTTTTCCACAAAACTTGCATTGCCTAAGACTAGTGTTGTTTATATGTAAATACAACCCAAAATGCAAAAGCACTTTCACTCTTAAACATGAAGAAAAAATTGATACTGAAATATTAACATGAAATAATTTTATGACACAAATCAGAAGATTGCACAGCTGAGAGGGAATTGTAACTTCAGGGGTGTAAAACTAACTTGCTGATTTTATTGGTTAAATTGAAGCATTTTTGTTACTGAATTAACATATACTTGAAATCTGTGTTCTTTTCAACATCAGGCTTTCTTTTTCTCTTTCAGTCTGTGATCAAAACGGGACGACTCTTAATCAGTCACGAAGCTCCCTTAACAGGTGGCTTTGCGTCAGAGATCAGCTCCACTGTTCAGGTAAAATGAGTTTTCGGCATGAGCTTAACATTTGTGCAGTTGTACATGTGTATTCCGGGAAGAAAACAATTAGTGATCACAGCGTCTCAGAAACATACATTTTTTATTCTATGTTGTCTTTGAGTTAATAGTGTGATTAAATTTAGAAAATAAAATTTAAATTAATAAAAGTGAATAAAACCCTTTGTGAGAAGTCAGAGATGAGTAATAAACTTACTTTGCTTGTATTTGTTAAGTGAACAGGAACACTCTTTTAAATTTCAATCTAATAGTTTTCTTAACAAAATTTAAAATTAATATGAAATGAATTGTTTATGAAATTGATCTTAGATTTTCATAGCTTTTACCTCCCATATCTGAATCTTGCAAAGTCAGTAAATTCAATAATTATTTTAAAAAGTAGCTTATAAGTTTAATCAATAATCAAATCAAGTTATTGACAATGGTTTAGAAATGGTTTAAAAATTTGCTTCTTTTTAAAACTGTTTCCCTCAGATGCTGCACACCAGGAGAAACCCTATACACTTCTTTTGGGAGGATTGTTACTTAAAACTTTTTTCACATTTGTATCATGGGTATGGATAATTTCAAGGAGTTCTATTTTTCCTAATTTTTAAAATTAAACATGAAATATTTTACATATGAAGTACCTGCATTTTACATCCAGAATATATTTGCAGCTTGCATTTTACCTTTCTTCACTGTTGTTAATATGCTTTAATTATTAGGAAATGAGAATTCCTTTAAGAATCAGTGGGTTGTTAATCTGACATAAAATTCTAATTGATGAGTAGTGATAAATTATTTTTAAACATTTAACCAGTAAAAAATGACTTTTACTAATAAAATATTTTAATTGCTAATTAAGAAAGTAAAATATATCTTAAATTAGATGAAGTAAATTTAAACATAAATATTTTAAAAACTAGATCAAAGTAATGGTACTTTTATGTTGTATATAGTAGTCACTGACAAAATTAAGAAAAGTAAACATGTTTTGTAATATGCCATGTTCCTATTCAATTAAGATCATTTAAATACCATGAGTACCAGGTATTTATTGTATACTTTATTGAGTAGCATAATGTACTAAATTCTTATTAAAATGAGAATTATAAGAATGAATCATTATAAAACCAAAATGTTAATTTCAAGCCAGAGGCAAAACTGGAAAAAACAACTAGATTTTCTGATGCCTAGTTAATGTGGTGTACTGAACCATTTAAAATTATAATGACTGTTGCTAATAGAAACTTTGACAACCTTGCTTCATTTTAGCCACCAACTGCTTATTGTCATATCAAAAGTTCATTTGCATGTAATTATAAGAGGAAAAACAATAGAATGTAGTTATAACTCCTTTTGTGAAGTTTGCTTTCTCTAAGTACGCTTTTACAGTGTGATCTCCATAAACTATTGGTAGACTGCAATTGAATATAACATGGTTTTTCAACTGAAAACAATATAGAAAGATGATCTAATGTATGGTAGTGTCTCTTGGTTTTGAATCATGGACTTGGATTTATAGAAAAATGTCTGAGGCCCCATGAATATATAGTGAATCCTTGTTTAAGAAATACTTTATTAAGAGTTAAACACAGACACTAAAAATAGCAGACACGAAAAAATCATAAATATAATATCAAAATCAGATTCTAAATATATGTGATGATAACTGGTGGTAAAAGTAGTCAGTGGGATTATCCAGAATATAATCATATTTAAATCATAATATGAAGACACTAAAACAAGGCATTTTGTAACACTCTCAGACTCCCAAGAATATGTTCATAGACCCTCAAATGTCCACAGTCTGTAGTTTGAGAAATATTGATTTTTACAAATGGTTTTCCACTTACTATGTGTGTTTGTCAACCAAAATACCTGTTACTTACCCACTTTATAATGACAGGGCTGATCTGGAACTTGTACAGGTGTTTTGAGTAAATGTTAAGTGTGTACACCTGTATTCCTTATTCAAAGTCCACTGTCCCCCAAGAGGAAGATAGAAATTTTGGATTCTTTATAAAGTTCTGTTTTTCATGATGAAATCATTGAACCAGAAAACCATAAAATTATTTAGGCAATACCGCAAAAATTTTAGGGAGTCTTGCTTTTAACATTTTGAGTAACTCGAATTTTGATTTATTAATATGAAAGTGAACTTGAAAATGTACACAATTGTTTTTGCTTAATTCAGATTTTATTTGCACAAATACCAGGTGCAGAAAATGAGCTTGAATGAACTTGATATTCCCAAATACTTGCCTTTTGTTCCTTTTATGTACTGATAAGGGATATTTTAAAAGTCTTTCATAGTAATGTTTATATATAACTGTGAGTGATCTGAATAAGATCTGCTTTTCAGAAACTGTTTTATTCACTAAGTCAGTGTACTGTATCGTCTCTATGACCTCATCCTGTATTATGAATAAAACCTCTTTCAAACACCAGTGCCTTAGGTTGTATAAACTGAAGTCTTTTTAAGTGTGAGGTGCAGTTGCTTTTACCACTTGGAATGATTCATATTTCCACATTTTTTTGCTTGTATATACCTTGTAAGGTTAAAAAAGATAAAATAGAGTTAACATATTGAAAACCGACTTTCTGGGAGAACAGGGAAAATGCACGCAAAGAGATTTTATTTTCATGTTGGAAAAGACGCTTGAAATTATGGATCACTCTCGTAATCTGTAAATTTAGGTACTGTTGATTAAAATATTGAGTTATTCTCGTATCAACTCCTCTACATTTCACATAAACGTAAATAAAATACTTTGCTTCACAGGCATTATTTTGTCAAAGATATCTGGTAGTTTTTTAAAAAGCTCATATTTAAATTCTATGAAATTGTTCTTGAAACAATATTGTAAGAAATGGTTAGTAATTTTTTATGAACTTCAAACCTAAGTACACTAAAAACCTGAAATATTGTTTTTCACATTTAAAATTATTGCCTATATTAAAAATAAAATGTTGAGCACTACAGAGTGCATCTTTTTGACTTTATATTTTCTATTTTTAGAGAGAAAAAATGTAACGTGTTACCTAAAATTAAATATAAAATTAATAAACATTATTACTTTGTTATAGTACTATTGGCATTAATATCAAAAGATTCCTTTTAGTCATAGAAATAAAATAGGAAAAGAAATAAAATATAGTCATAATATAACTTTAATTTATACCAGATGGCTCTTCTATCAAAGAGTTCAGTATCCATATCTTAAGTTTCGTCATACCTGTTGCTTCTTCTTCATACACCCACTATTTAAAAAATATATTGCTGACAGTCTCAGTCTCAGGTAATACAGAACACAAGTGATTTGACTACCTTATATTGATTAGATATAAAATTTCTCTCTCTCCACATGTATACATATATATTATATATATATTATATATAAAAGCTAACAAAATTTTTTTAAAAACCAGTACATTTAAAGACCACTTTGCATTTCTATTGGATTTAATTTGGAAGTTAACTGGGAAGCAGAACAAGCTGAGGTCTGGAGTATTTGCCCTGCTCTGGGCAAGATTTCTTGGTTGGTCATCCAAAGCTTTACTGTCTCTTCCCATCTAATTTTACATTCCCATCTGTTCTCAGTTTGGGGTAAGGAAACTTTTTCCTTTTTTTCTTTCATTTGACACATACTGAAACTTCAAATGCTGCTTGAAGCCATAAGTGTGCATGCTGGTTTGTAGAAACATGCAGCGACAACAGAGTTTAGTTCATTGACCTTTCTATTGTATATGAATTTCATTGGTTCAGAAAATGAAATAAATTAATTTATAGTATGCGTGTATTCTTCACCTTTTTATAACCATAGATTTTTTTTATTTATTTATTTTTTTAACCATAGATTTTTAAAAGCTTTTTTTACAAAGTAAACATCAATTTTAATATTAATTTGTATATTTTTGCATGCAGTGTTCAATACAAGTATTATCTATTTAAATGTTACGACCAAATAATTTATGGTGTTTTAGCAACTTTAACCTAATTTTTAAAATCGTTTTAGAGCTCAACCTTTATTGTTAATTTCTGATATATGATAAGCTGGTTTCTGATATAATTGTGTGATAATAAAAAAAGGCTTTTTTTTCTGGATTTAATGCTTAATAAGAGTGCCAAAGATTTTAGGGATTGTGGTTGGCTTAAAGGTTTGAGTTTTGTGTTTTTTTCCTGAAACACATGGAAGCAATAAGTCTGCAATAAAGGGTCCAATTGGAGAGAATGGTAAGTTTCCATACCATTGTTTTATCCTTTCTGTGCGGTCTCTTTTCTGAGAATAAGAATTCAGAGAAGTATGTGTTCCTACATATATTTTCAAGATAATCAGGTTCTGATAGTTTAAAAGGATTTTTATAGGGCCCACACGAATCATCGTGTACAAGGAAAGTTCCATAACTTTCAACGAAAGAATTTTGCTTTTCTCATTATTTCATGTTTGAAAGGTTTATTCAGAAGGATTTTTTTGTTACAAACTTTATTACTACCAAATATATGAACATACATCAATCTGAAGAAGAGAACATCTTAAATGGCCTTGATTTTTACCACTCTGTAAAACATTTAACTAAGATTGCCAAGTTGATCTATTAAGAGAAATCAGAAAACTGTCAAGAGTAGTAATTTTATGAATGCTTCATGGCAATTTTATAATCTCAATTAAAAAAAAATTCACCCATGATGGAAAACATTTTCCAACAACTACAGTAAAATATTCGCGAGAAGTATACTTCTGTGCTAGAAGATGGAGCCAGAGCATCAAAAAAGCAGCTTAATTTAGAGTGTTCAAATACAGAATGGCCTCTTTAAAATCCAGTTTTGCCCTGAAGCTTGTTCAGTATTCTGTAAACAACTTATGTGGCCACAGAGAGGTACCAAAATCTAAGTCTCTTCAGGGATTAATTGTGGGTGAGGCTGCTTCAAGACTATTTGTGGGGAAACCTGTGGTGTACTTACTCTCTTGGTTCTACTCTGCCCTAGTCTCCTT